GGGAAGCCAGCTACTGAGGAGGGCGCAGGTGTACACTCCGCCGTGGCTAGGAGGCGTCGCGAGGATGCGAGGCGCCAGGGGGGACTGAGGACGACGCTGGCAAGAGAGCTCGGAGTACTGGCGGTCGAGGGCGGCGGTGTAAGGGCACCGCGAGGAGGTATGTTCGTCCTGGCGGCAGCGCAAACACCCACGCCGGCCCAAAATGGTCGCGCGCTCCTCAGCGGAAAGGACACCGCCAGGAGGGACAAAGCCCTGAGGGAGGTCATGGTGAAGGCCCTTGGGGGGCGACGCGCCAGCGTGACTAGAGGGGTTGCGTGCCCGGGAGAGGGTGGAGAGGGCGAGCTGGAGGCGCTCGGCTATGGGGAGGGTAGAGTCCTCCAGGTGGTAGTGGACGATTTCGCAGAGGTCAAGGTCGTCGCTACGGTCACCCTCCAACGACAGCGGGGCAACAGCGTCCTGCTCACCATACTCGAGCGCGCTGAAGTGACAGCCCTGCTACGCAGAACGGCGGGGTCGACCGTGGAAAGGGGAACGGCGCTGGGAAGTGTAGCGAGAGGAGGAGGGAGTGAAACCAGTACGCTGAGGCAGGGAGGAGGAAGTGGGTTGAAGACGGGCGCCCACATCCGTTGATGGGCCCTGGCGGCCTTGTAAGCCTGCGGGGCCGATGTGAAGTTATACCGCCATAACTCAGAGCAGTACTCAAGAGGAAGGTTGGCCAAGAAACGATCGATGAGGGCAGCCTCAAGGAGGGACGCCACATCACAAATGAGGCGCGCGTCCTGAAAGACCTGGATGTGGCGGTCCAGGCCGGCAGCGCCACCAGAGTCGGACCAGCGTGTACTGACGACATGCTCGAAGGCGTCAGTCACGTCATGTCGGGCTCCGTAGCGATCCTCGAGGAACGCCTGAAAATCCATGAAGGTCGGGGTCCGACCCTCACGAAGGGAGTGAGTGTAGAAATCCTCCCAGGCGTCGAAAGGACCGCCACACAGGCGCGTGGAGAGGTGAGCCACCCACGTGTCGTGTGGGACGCCCATGAGCTAGAGTGTGCGGGTGGCAGAATGCAGCCACCAAGACACGTGTATCCCTGTACCGTCATATGTGCCATCGTTTTCGCGACGAGGAGATCGAGGAGCAGAGGTCTGCGCTACGGCCAAGTAAGTCGGCGCAGGTCCTGGAGAAGGGGGCGCAACTGACTGTACGCCTGGGCCGCATGGTGGACCGACGGGGGGAACAGCGTCAGGCTGTGGTAGAAGAGGTCGCAGCAACCGAGGGAGTAGGAAGGAGGTAGGATGGGGGTGGAGGGGGTGCAGGGCGAGGGAAGCGAGCCTGCATGGATGGAAGAGTAGAGGAAGAAGGGGGTGCGCCCGAAGGCACGGCCACCTGTGATGGTAGGGGTGGTTGAAGGCGTAAGAGGGCGAGGTCGGCCCGGATCAAGGTAAGCTCGGTCTCAAGACGGGGGACAAGTGAGGAGTAGGAGGAGGAGGGTGGGGGAAATAGACGCACAAGCGGCGCGGGGCATCCCATAAGGGGAAGAGCCAGGTGGTGTTGCGGTCGTGCGAATGGGAAGGAGAAGCGAGGCACCCGAAAAAGTTGAGACCGCGGTAGAGGGTTGTGGTCCGGTGGCCGTAATGACCAAAATCTGGGCGGGTGCGCCCATAGCGTGAGGGAAGGCCTGGCCGGTGGCGGTCGTCGCACTACGAGCGTGGACGGTCACCAGGATGGCCAGGTCGGGGGCAGCGGAGGAGGAGGCTCCACCGTGGCCACCACGTCAGAGGACTGGGAACCCGGACTGGGAGTCAAGAAAAGAGAAAGAGTTAGGAGAGGAAGGACAGGCCTCGTCCTGGAGTTGTCGCATGCCAGCGGCAAGAGTCGCCACATGCGCCTGTAAGGGAGCAAGGGTCGCCAATTGCGCCTAGATGGGCGCGATAAGGGAGGTGAGGAGGGTATGCAGATCCCCCTAGGGCTAATAGCCCTGGTCCGCCGGCACGGGTGTGGAGCCTGGTGCCGAGGTCGTCGCCGCATCAGCGACTTGTGATACGTCGTCAGCCATGGGGAGGTGACGGGTCAGACGGGAGGGGGCCGGAGGAGGCCTGCGTGAGCGGAGGGCATAAGGGGGGGTCAGCGGTAGAAAGTGACAGGCGGCGCTAGCGAGTCGAGCGCGGGCGCCGTCAAAGGGGGAGGGGTGGTTCGGGTCCAAGGTGCCCGAATGGGGAGGGAAAGTAGGGAGAAGGGGTGATGGGAAAGTAGGGGGAGTAGGAAGACCCTAAGCCCTAGAAAAACCCTTAGAAAACCCTAACCAAAGTTTGAGTGGTTAGGGTAGGGTATCGACAACCATGCAGAGGGAGGTGGAGAGAAAAATAAATAAACAATGACATTTTGAGAGAAAAATTAAAAAAAAAAAAAAAAAAAAAAAATTTAAAGAAATAAATAAACAAAATGTGAAGAGAAAGAATTATTTATTTTTTTGAAATTTTCGGCAACATTTCCTTACCCCCCATTGGTTCGAGAATGTGCCAAGAAGAAGGAGAGACTAAGTGTTGAATTTTTCAAAAATTTCGGCAACATTTCGTTACCCCTATGGAGTCGAAGTGTGCCAGCAAGGATATGACTAAGTAAGATGTAGAGAGTGAGAAGAAAAGAGAAAATTTCGGCAGATCGTTACCCCGTTACCCCCACGGGGTCAAAATGTGCGCCGAGAGCGAAAGTAACTAAGTCCTACCAGATCTAGAGATGCCGAAGAAAAAAAAATCAAAATTTCAAAATAAATAAAAATAAAGAAAATAAATCAGAAAATGAGAAAGGAAGTAGAGAGAAGAAGATAATTCGAATTTCGAAGAAATGGGAAATTTAAATTTAAAAAAAAAAGACAAAAAGAAGAAAACATAAAAAAAATTGAAGTTGGGGGGGGGGGAAGGGGATGAAAAAGTGAAGAAGGAAGCGAGAAATAGGTGAGAAAGTGAAAAGATGGAAGTGGAAGGTGGGGGGATGATGGGGTTGTAGTTGGGGGAGAGGAGGGTGAGAGAATGGGAGAGAAAGGGATGGGAAAGGTGGGGAGTAGAAGAGATTAGTAGAAGACGGTGAGTGGGGAGGGGAGGAGAGAAAGGATGGTGGAAGATGAGTGAAGAGGGATGTAGGAGGAGAGAGGAGTGGTAGAGTTAGAAAAAAGTGATTAGATGGTGGAGGGGGGAGGAAAGAGAGAGGGGGGTGGGGGAGTAGGTTAGTGGGAGGTGATGATACCAAGCTCTTGGTTGGCCAAGAGCAACAAGATCACCAAGATCCACTGGATCTTCGCCTTCAAGATGCTGGCAGCCTGCTGCTGCAGCAGAAAATGATGTTGGAGTAATCAAGGGTTGGCTGAGATCTTGATCAGCAACCCTGGTTGCCTGACGTGCAGCCCCCTAGCCAGGGGGGTCTTCACTGCTAGCAAACTGCTGGTGCAGCAGTGCAAGAAATACTGGCCAGCATCATCATCAGCAGCCGGGTGTGCTGAGATCTTGATCAGACACCCAGATTGGCCTGTACTGCAGCACGCTTCCCGGGGGGGGGGGTGTCTTCAGGTCCACACCAAGCTGCCACGTGGCACTGCAGATGGCCACGTGCGCAGGCAGCAGCAGCCACAGAGGGGGGGGGGGGGGAGGCAAATAGCAGCCC